AAATGACAGGTCCTTAAGCAAAAGGCAAACATGAAAGAAGCTAGTTACAAAGGACCACATAGTGGGGGGCTGGGGATTTAGCTCAGCGGCAAAGAAAAACCAAAAACAAACAAACAAACAACAACAACAAAAAAGATCACATAGTGTATGGTTCCACCTTGATAAAATGCTCAGAATAAGCAAATCTATAGAGATAGAAGGTAAATTAGCGGTGGCTAAGGCCAAAGAACATGAGAGATTGGAGGGTGACCTGAAAGGGGGATGAAATTTTGAGGGGGTAATGAAATTGATTGTGATGATATATGAACAACTCCATGAATACACTAAAAGCCAGTGAATTATACACATTAATTGAGTAAATTTATGGCATGATAATTATTTCTCAAAAAAGGATGTTTTTCAGAAAAGGTCAGAAGTAATACATTTGGAGACTATTCTGTAGAAAGCCAGAAAAATTGAACGTAGGGAACAGTGAGACACTCAGGGAACAGGAGGTGGTTTACTGGGACATCCTGGATAGATGTCAAGTGAGTTACAGAATAGGTTTTATGCAGTTTTAGCTACAGCTCGTACATTTTGGAAAGGACCAAGATGGATATTCTTCTTGAATGAAAGACCACGGGAGGCCGTAATAGGCTTACCCTAAACTGCTTCTCACATTCTAGGGGAATGAGTGTGTCTAAAGATAGAGGCTGGTCACAGTGTTGAGTGGGTCACAAACCTGCTCCTGAGATGAGATTATGCCTCTGAGAAAATTTGATTCTTCTCTCTCTGAAGCCTAGTTAGAAATTTTGTTTGTGCTCCATGATCTCTGGGGCTCAACTGCTTTGCAGTTGGCAGTCTTTGCCTGCATTTGCCTTTTGTCCAGGCCTATTCAAAGACTCCAGTTTGCAGTCAAGGGAGTAAGATGGTTTGAGTTATATTTGAAGGAAAACTGAAACAACTCCAGTATTTATCTGGCAATCTGAACAAGTAATCTGAAGATAACAATATGCAACATAACAGCCATTGTTGAATTCCTATCATCTTGTTTAGTGAAGCTCTGTATCATTTCAAATGGATTTTTTTATTATTTTTTATTCTCTTTAAAATAAAAAAAAATCAATGAAGAGGCATTTATGCTAGGTCCACTTGACACAGTAACTGAGGATTTCATACAGCATTTAGTATGACCTGATCCCTCTAAACGTTCCGTCCTCCTCTCTCACTGCATTCAAACTGCGGGCCCAGATCCATCTGCATGTTGCTCCCTTTGTCTGAAACATCCTTTCTCCCTGACACATGGCTAAGTCCTACAGTGCTTCAGTGATTTTCCAGGAAGCCTCTTCGAATCCTCAGGATAGTCTGAGCATCCTCCCATATGTTCCCTTAGCACCCTGTTTATATTCTATCCATGCATTTACTGCATTGTAATGGGATTATCCTTGTGTCTGGCTTCATCTCCACTGGTCTGGAAGCTCCTTGCCATGCACTGCCATGTCTCTCTGTCCAGCTCCTGGACTAGCTCCCAGCATACATTCTTCACAAATGTAAGTTAAGCCCCTTCTCTGCCAAGAAGCTATACAATGACCACCTAGAAAGTTAGTGCAAGAAAATTGGAGCCATCTCTTTTAACCCCAAATGAATTGGCCCGTTCAAAAAAATCAGACAACAGCAGATCATTCTTTGTGTCCACAGGGTTGGGCAAACAGTAGACCTTCTTTAAATTTTTTGTAAACTGATCTACTGGTATCTTGACTTTGATATATTTAACTGCCTACAGTCCACACCTCAAATACCTTATATATGCCTACTGCTAAATTGTTTTTCACACACTGAGTTCAGACATCCATTCATTAGCTGACAACAGAATGCTCGACCTTTCCATAGTGAAGCTGTCTGGCCACTCAGTTTTAGCGGCAGCACCATTTTGGTGATGGGGGATTCAAGCAGTTGTCTAAATACTTGATTGCATTTTCAAAAATGAGTGGGGGACAGAAAAAGAAAATGCTGGGGCTGGGGATTTAGCTCAGCGGCAAAAGCGCCTGCCTGGCAAGCGCAAGGTCGAGTTCGGTTCCCAGTACCAGAGAAAAAAAAACAAAAAAAATAAAAAAAAGAAAAAGAAAATGCTGATATTAGTAAAAGTGATTGGAGAGGTCCCATCAATTTAATAAAATTAAGGCAGAAATAGAAATCATTAGGTGTACTAAAAATAGCAAGTTTTAAGCCTCAGTTGTAAGCTCAGTGGAAGATAGGTTGATTTTGTGTTCAGTTACAAAGAAAAAGAACAAATTAAGGAGCATAGTTAAATTTTGGGGCTGCATTGTCATATATAGTATACAAAAAGGCAAAGGATAAGCATTTTTATAATTTTTTTTTAAATCTCTGGAAGTCCTCCCATCCCTCAACCCAGTAGTAACTAAGCCTGTTGTTTGATACCTACACCTTTGATTTTCATGTGCTATTGTTTGGATATAATTTGAGTGTGCTCCCCAAAGGCTGATATGGGAGAAGTTTGGTCTCTAATGTAGTGGTGGCACCTTTGAAAGGTAAGGCCTAATAAAAGGTAGTTAGATCATGAGGCCACTGACTTTGCAAGGCATTAGTTCTGGTTTTGCAGAACAAGTCAGTTCTCGAGAAAGCAGGCTGTTACAAAGCAAGGCGACCCCGTGTGTTTGTGCTTTTCTACACAGAGCTGTTTCCCTTTCTGATTCTCTGCCATGTTGTGATAGAGCCAGGAGAGCCTTCACCAGAATCCGAAAAAATGGGGACATCTGATCTTGAAATTTCAGCCTCCAAAACTATGAACTTAAATAAACCCTGTTTTTGAACAAAGTGTCCAGCATCTGATATTGGATTATAGCAACATAAAATGGACCAATACAATAGGTTTTCAAGAATGTATTTGACATATATATCAAAGCAGGAGGTGACTTGGTCATTTGTGCTATATTAGGTTTCTAAAGTGTTTTCCAGGCCTGAAAGTCTTTGGAAGGACCAGTAACAAAACCTAAAGGCTGTATCTTATTGCTAAGTGACTAAAGGCACACATGGAAGAGTCAGACGCAACTAGGTAAGAATCCTTACTTTGCCGCCACCTAGTAATATATCTTTAACAGGTTACCTAATCCTCTAAACCTTAGTTTTTTCTGTAAAAGGAAGATAATAGTGGTGCATATCCCAGAGTGTGGCTACAAAGTGTGAATGAGTACTTATCTTTATTAGGCTTCGCCTATGCCTAGCACTTACTCTGAGCTTATAACATAGAAGCTGTTTTCTAGGAAGGACGAAGAATGCTGGAAGATCTGGGAGGGGTCAAATTTGGCTCGCTTCACAAACTGTGTAGGGCCCCACCGAATCCTGAGCTCTATTATAAACTCGATGCAGAAACACTTAAAATTTCTATTACTACTTCCAATCCATTCACTGGGTCATTCTGGCTTCTGCCAGTGGGAGTGGGAGTATGCTATTTATTCACCTAATGACTCCTTCCAAGTTAGAGAACTTGGAAACCCTGACAATTGTTCCACCCCTTACTTCTTTCATTTCACCACCTCTGCTCGCAGGAAGGTGCGTCTCCCCGTGACAGTCACATCTGCAGTGCGAACTTTCACTCATCTGAGCCTGTTAGTGCTTTGAAGTCAGTGACTATGACTCTGCAATCATAGGACTAGAGGAGGCTGGGTTTAGGATGTGCTGTCAAAAATGTCACCTTGGCAGATCAACGGTATGTACTGGGCAGCTGGTACCCACCCCCAGTGCACATACTAGGCACCCTAGGCCTCTCTGGGTTTGCTCTCTCCTTGACATGCTGTGAGCCTACCCCATTTCCATTTTGACAACACTCTTGTCTAAGGCCTTCTTCAAAGATTCAGCAGGGTTTAATAACACTGTTTATTACTATTTAACATTTATTATTTACTAGTGTTAGTCCTGATTTTTCAAAAACTTTGAGAAAGTCTTTCTAAAAGTGCAGCGAGACCTCAAATGTCTACAAGATGCAAGCCCAGCTACAAAAGAGACAGGATCTGGACAGGGAGGGGAGAGTGGCAGCAAAACTATGGAGAACATAAAAGAATAAGTGATTGAAAAACACTCAGAGTGACAACGCCAAAGTCCCTAGCCAGGGCCTAGGGTGCAATAAAAATTCTCAGTAGTTTTGAAAATCCATCTTTTTGTTCTATCAGGCTAACCTCTTTCTCTGTTGTGAAAAGGCTTTCGGACAGTCAGTTGTCCTGAGTATTCTGGTGACACTTTTTCCTTGGGCCTGTAGGCCAGCCTTCTCTAACTACCCTCTCTAACCACCCACGCCGCCGCTTCCCACCTGCTCTAATCTAACCTCCACACCCACCGCCCCACCTAGGGGCTCTCAGTCAAGACCCCGATTGCTATTTCTTTTGAGTGCTGCCCCTTTGGTCTCCCTGAGGCGCATGGTTCTATGGACCAGTCTGTCCATCTCAGAAATCCTCTTCCCTGCCTTCCTCAGCACAGCTTTCTCCTCTTACCTCCATCTCAGGTCCCCTTTATGGCCTCTCTTCTTGCTGCTTCTTTAAGATGATGAATTTAAAAAAAAAAAAACTTTTCCTTGGCTTTCTGTCCTTCTTACGGGGCATGGCCATCTTCTGCTATGGATTTAGCTACCACCGACCTGGAAGCAACTCTCATGCTCCTCCTTATCCTTGGCTTCTCTTTTGAGTATCAAACCACATAACTGCCTGTATACAACAATCCCCATCATCTGCAGTTTTGCTTTTCAGGGTGACCCACAGTCAACTGCCGTCTGAAAATGTTACATGAAAAAATTCTAGAAATAACAATTCATATGTTTTAAATTGCACACCATTCTGAGTTTGTGGTGAAATCTTGCATCATCCACCCTTGTCTCCCCAGAATGTGACTTAGCCCTTTGTTCAGTAGATCCGGGCCACATATGCTCCCTGTCTGTTAGTTGCTTAGTAGGTGTCATGGGGATCAGACCAGTTATTGCAGTACCTCAGTGGTTGTGTTCAAGTAACACTTACCTGGCTTAATAATGTGACCAAGTGCAAGTATAGTGAGGCTGGCGATTCAAATATGCCAAACAGAACCCATAAATACTTCCTGAAAAGAAAAAGGTGAAAGTTCTCAATTTAGTAGAAGAAAAAAATTCTATACTAAGGTTTCTAAGTTCTAAAGTAAGAACAAAGCTATCTGTGAAATTGTGAAGAAAGAAAAACAAGTTTGTGCTAGTTCTGTGTTACACCTCAAACTGTGAATATTACGGCTGCAATGCATGGTAAGCACTTAATAAGATGAAAAGACATTAAATTTGTGTATGTCTGTCTATATGAGAAGAAAACATAGCATATATAGGATTTTGTACCACCCCCAGTTTCAGGTACCTACCGGAGGGTCTTGGAACACACCCTGGGGATAGAGGTTTGGGAGTCACTGCACTGGCCCTTCACTTGGGTATCTTACCAGCATCTCAGATTCCACATGCATGAACTGGTTGTCTTACACCCCCTTCTCTCCGTGTCGTCTAGAGTGACTCAAATCAGAATCCTAGGTGGCATCTTAGGTGTCTTATTCTCCATTAACTCTCAGTCTCCTTGCTCTACTCCATGCCCACCAAGTCTCAGGCACCCACGATTTCTCTAATGCTTCCACATTGCCACTGACTTTGTTGTAACCCTCACACCTTTCTTGAATTATTTTGACAGATGCCCAACTACTTATCTCGCCCTCTGTCTCATCACCCTCAGTCCTATTGTCTCCACAGGTAGCCAAGGGACCTTTCTAAAGGTTAAGAACTCACTATCACAGTTAAAGCCTGTGCAACAGCCCCCCTTGCCTGCATGCAGAAGAGAGACTCCCATGCAGGCCCTCGGGAGCTCTGTGATCTGCATCAGGTCTTTGTACTTCATCTCTAGTCTTCCCCTTTCCCTTTCTGTATATTTGCAATACCAAAAAAAAAATTTTCCTTTGCATTTTATTCCAACCTAGACAGTGTGCAGTATTTCACCAGGCCCAGTCTGAGCATTCTCTTTCATCTTCTCTATCTTCCCCAACCCCTCCCACTCCTCTAACCCCAGAGAGTGGCTATTTATTCTAATGCGCCACAATATATCTCGACCTGGTATCTACCACACTATTTACATGTCTGTCTCTGCTAGACTGAGAACTCCTGAGGGGTGAGGGTGGTCACCTATCTGTCCTTATCCTCACCCTTGTCTGTGCAAAGGCCCTGCCTGTAGCCAGCAGAGAACAGAGCACCCAATGCCTCAAATCAACTGGGACTGAGAGCCCAAGAAGCCAACTTCACTGGCTTCAGTTTTAGTCTCAGTTGCTCAGTCTGGCTGCCCAGAGCAGCTTCTGGAGCTTTGTCACTATTCAGAGGCACCTGCCCTATGGTAAAGTACGCAGGGTCCTTTGCTGAGCAGTAGTTAACACTGGTCCTGCTAATGAAGGTGGCTTTTGCTACCTTCTGCTCAAACCCCACACCCTCCAGACTGTGCATCTTAAAGGTCATGGTCATAGGCTGTCCTTATCAATCTAAGCATCGGTCAGAGACAAAAATCCCACTCTGATATGGGATATGGTGAGACATTTCAGTTTCAAAACATTGCAGATGTTAAATGAGTAATGTTAATGTGATCTCAGAATAGTAAACACACCCCCACAAGAATAATGACATTAGCTGCATTATCTGGAAAGAAAGATAAAAAAGAAAGGCAGCATTGGGCCGGGAGGACAGTGGAAGAACTGCCTGCAGCACCATATTCAAAGGGGTAGGGCAAGTAAACTGCACTTCTCCAATGGCCTCCTCCCTGCCTCCCACGTGGGACACTGCCATGCTCAACCTGGGGTGAGCTGTATCATCTGAGCGAAGTGAAGGGACGCAGCGAGCGCATACATAGAGTAAGAAAACACCATCCTTCATTTTCTGAAGCTGTCACTCACTCTGATTGGGAAAGAACTTCTTAAGAACTGTAAACATCCTGCCCAGGAAGCAATACTTCATCACATGGCTAAGGATCAGCTGTTCGCTTGTCAGGGATTGGTTTTTCCCTTCTGTGGTGAGAAGATGGCTCCAGGCCAGCACGGACACCTTCCCTAGCACTCCAATGTCACTGAGATACAGGCAGCACCTACCTTCCAAAGTTTCTGAGGACACAGTTCCCATTACATCTTATCCATGTGGAAGAGTCACACTAGCAGGGGAGAAGGATCCACAGCTTTAGAGTTTATATAAAGCCAGACTGACCTCCTCCACCCTAGATGGCCTTTTCCAAATGGAAGGAGCTTCCAAGGTCCTGAATATTCATGCAGCAAGGCACAATGTATTTTTCTTTTAGCCAGCCTCCAGCTCACTTGACTCTGTCTCTTCTTTGCTAAAGCCTACTTCTTCCCATAATCCAGCATGTTTAGAGTCTCTTGCTCTTAAAGAAAACATTCAGGCAGCAAGTTCACGCAAGGTATTGGAGACTCAACATGACCAGTGTTTCTGTTTTATCCAAGGGAATGACTCTCTGCTGGTGAAGTTTCTGGTCTTACCATGGAAGCTGATGGGACTTCCTAGTGCCTCTGCAACCCTGTTACACTGACAATCACTGCAGATGCCAATGCAGGCATATAACCCCTCAGGCCTGGGTTATGGCTCAGTCTTTGGGGAAAGCCTGGCAGCTTTCATCATGGCTATCAGGTTGCTTTATATACTGCTTGTTTAGAAGCATTTTTGGAAGTACTAGGGAGAATAAATTAAATTACAAAGGCTCTTAGCCCATATCCAAAAATCCTCAGCATATTTCCACTCCATCGGGGCTCCTTTGATAGAGAAGTTCTAGATTGAGGAAGAGTGAAAAAGTTACCTTACGAGTCTTTAGACGTGCAAAATTTGAAGGCTCAAGTTATATGGCTATTTTACAATGGACACACGAAAGCCATCATCCATTTCTTATTCAGTTACTCAGTGGATATTTATTAAGCTCCATCATGTGACAGGAACTGCTCCAGAGATACACCAAAGAATCACACTGACAAAGTCCCTGTCATGGTGGAGCTAAAAACTGGAGATTGAGTTGAACTATTTTTGTTCATTCCCAGAAAGCAGAACTGGGACAAGTGGGTAGGGAACCCAAGGAAGCCAATTTCCATGCAGCACACAACCAAATATGGGCTGTAATGAGCATCCTGACACTATCTGAGAAAAGCTTCATGGCTGTTTCAGAAAGATTCACGTACAGAGCTGGACTAGATCTGTTGCTTCCAACTATCCCTTTCACCAGCAGAAAAATTTTTCAAGCATCATCTTAGCTGCAGCACCAGTACATAAAAGAATAGAGGAGCTGCAGAGGAAGTAGGAAATACAGATCTGGAGGGCCCACTGCGTGTCTCTCTGCCCTCTAAACTTAGCTCTCTATAACCACCAGAGGAGATTACCCATTGGGGGAGGTTGTAAATGTAAGTAGGATGGTATAGGTTTCTTACTAGGGTCTCCCCCTCCCCTCCACACTTCTACCTTTTCCAAGGAAAGAGTGTAGTAGATGAGACAAAATGGAGCAGAGGCTCTGGAGTGTACACCTCACAGATACTCACTGACAGTGTCAGCATGAGCCGGACATAGTTTCACTTGGGTGGACCTAAAAATCATAGCACATTTCTTTTAGTTCCAAAAAGAGGACACTGTCTGGGATCCTGGACATTAGGACAAACCCACAGAGGTTCAAACTGACCAAAATACTCTTAGAGGAAGAGGACAAAAAACTACAAAGAGAAGACACACATAAGCAACTCATCCTGTCAAGTAAAAACTCATTCTCTGGATACTTGAGGGTATATAGTGTCTTTGAATGCAAGGTTTACTTTCAGGCAATAGACTCTGCCTGTATGAGCTCCCAAATTTTACAAGTGTGACTGAGGGGCTGCGTATCCTTCCCCAGTCTGGAGCAGGATGTGAAGAAGCACCCTCTTGTGAAAGTTCTGGAAAGCCCCATTCTTACTGGGCACAGTGCCCTTGGATAGGGAAGCCTTCACATCATAGGGGACTCGGAGCCTGGAGCTGCTCCCTGGCTGAGGCCTGAGGCCTGTGAGAGCAAGAACCTGATAACTTGGAAAAGAACTTGAGGTCTTCCTGAATATGTCACCACCACACAGATCCTCAAGCTTGCCCCTCCTAACCTCACCATCCTCTAGGCTAGAATTTTATTTACAGTTCCTGAAATGTTTATTGAAACCAGGCTCATATCTTCTAGCTCCACAGTCTACAAAGTTGTGTGCCCAAGGCAGTGAGCTGCATTTTGCTTCATCCTGTGGCTTTCCACAGCGCGGAATGCACCTGATACAGGCCTCAGGGATGATGTTAATAGTCACCCAGTAGAATTCCAAAGAGTGCAGCTTTAGAAAACTCTGGCTTAAAAAATAAAGTGGATTTAATTATTGCAGGGCTTTTCAGAGGCTAGAAAATGCTAATCTGAATTGTGACTTCAAGAATAGAAGAACAGTCTTTCCTGCTTTTATTTGATCTGTAAATACTTTTTCTCCCCAAGCAACTAAAACACTCCTTTCTCCTGAAAAAGCTCTTTGAAAAATACTGTCATAAACCAAACACTTAGTTAAACTGTATGAGCTTAGAGATTTAATTTTTATTAAAGGACGCCAGTATTTCCAAAGTGTGGCAATGTCTTATCCAACATCTTAGGAGATAAGACTTCATGTAGATGGATTATCTCCATCACTGAAACTTTCAAAAACAAAACAGTTGAGCCATTTTACCTGAAAATCTTTCTGAAACATATGGCACATTTCTGAAACACATGTCATATGTCTATTTTATTAAAAATTTAAAAATACATTTCTGAGTCTAAAAGTAAGTACATGCTTCTTTTTCAGAAGAGAAGATATTGGGTGTGTCCAAGGTAGTACGGCCATAGAATATGCTTCTTTTTCAAAGCTGGAAAATTTTAAAACAGACTAAATAAGGCAAACCCATAAATCTGTTAACATTTGAAGTTATTGTCTTCAATTGGTTCTGCAAAAATTTGTGCTGAAATATAACATAATGCCATAATTTACTTAATAAGTTATATATCATTAAACATTCTTTGAAACTTCTTATTTTA